TCACACACCACACCAGGAATAGCTGAGTTCCTCACGACTACCCCATGCTTTGGCGCACGGTTCTCAGACAAGGGTCTCTTCCTAATTGGCAGAGTTTAGTAATCCCACCTCTGCCCCCTACTCTGTCACTGGTGAGAGCTGACCTGGACTGGAGCCCCGTCTAAGAGGGCTTCTGATTGAGCACAAAAATGATACGCTAGCTATTCTAACCAGAGAAGTTAGAATGCCGGTATTCCACAGTGTTCCAATTTCAGCTTCCCATTGCTCTTGCCCCATGAGAGGCAATTACAGGACAAGCAGGTAGAACTATAAATTCCTTCACTATTACTCCTTGTAGGGAGGGAGGGTTTTCCTCTAGTCACCACTTCCTTTGGGCACAGAAATGGATGTAATGAGGACATAAATGCTTCATCCAAAGCAAATAAAGTCCAAAAGTGAAAACCTGAAAAATTTCTGATCAGTGAATCACAGCTAAATCCTGACGCTCAGTGTGGTTACCTAATTGAGTCTTTACAACCCACTGAAGTTTTTACTTTCATCATCAACAATGCAGAGATGGTGGGGAAGGACGGAAGGTAATCAGATTTCCAAAGTGAGGCTGTAGGGACGTCAACAATGGGGCCACGTAGGATGGTTTGGTGATGTCAGTTGTATTAATACGATGCTTGCTACAGAACAAGTGCTTGATAAAAGTTTACCAAATTAATTTAAAAAGGCAGCAACAAAAATGCTATTATTCCTGTTCTATCATAATATAATTTTCGACAAAGAAAGAGTGACACATTTGGAATTTTCACCAAAGTTAAAATTCTAAGAGGCAGACAGAAGGACAAAACACCGCATATGCGAAAGCTTCAATACACCGAAGCCTTAGAGCTGGAAGGAACTTGAGGGCACCCGGGCTTCTCCCTGCCTGGCTCCCACGGGTACAGCTGTCACTGTCACGCACTGCACTCATTCACATCCGGTTTCAGTAGTGGCTACCAATTAGGTGGAATTTACGCAGGTTATGAAGCTTCAGCGTCTCGACCAATATCCTCATTTTACAAAACAAAGCAGACAGGCAGTGGGGCTGCCATAGGGATTCCGCGGGAGCAGCCCGCCACCCAGTGTTACCCAGTTAGGGCTGGAGGTGGCCGGGCTGGGCCAGCACCGAGCCTCTGCCATTGACTTACCAGCTGCGGGACTTGGGGAGTTTTAAAAAAACTTCTCTGAGGCTAATTTTCTCCACTTTAAAATGCAGATATTGGTAGTATCTACCTCACAGGGTGGTTAAGGATTAAATAATTCATGTAAATCACTTGGCCACCTTCCCTGGCATAGGGGACACGCTCGTACGTGTCAGCTACAGAGTCGCACTTGATTACGCCTCCAACCACTTGGAAGAATCTTGAAGGCAGGAACACGTATCCCTGTATTCCCAGAGCACAGAGTCTAGCCAAAAAAGGGAAGAATAAATTAAGAGGCTCGTTAATAAGTTTTAAAAAATATTAAAAGTAAAGCCAGATTTAAATGTGTTAAAGGTTTAAAATGCCTCAAGTATCTTAATAAGTTGTAAGGCATTTTAAATACAACGGAAAGGTTTAGTATGTATTAACTATTCTTTCTTTTTTAAGATTCTCTTTCTAGGGATGTATGTTATTTGTTACCATATTTAAATTTAAAGAGCATCCTTCCCTCCATCTTACTTTTCACTTACTCCCTTGATCTGCAGAAACATACGAATGCTTTATATTTACATACACACATATACAATCATATGCATAGATACATATGCATATACACACATACACACATACATGCATATACATACATATGCAGAGTAAGAAAACAAGAAAGAAAAATTCCCAGTCCAGAATAACCAATAAAATAGCCAGAACAAAGGATACAACAAAAGGTATAAAATCCAGAGTATTTATTTGTGATTATTTCTCAGACCCCCACCCACACTCCGAAAAAGGTGATTTTCCTAGAATCTGTCCTCCACGGGTAGTCAGAGGTGATGGCATACCTAGCCTGCCCTTCCAGGCAATACAGAGAGTGTAATTTTCAAATTTCAGTAAAATAATGAATGATGTATCAGTATACCCTTGTTAAGTCTAAGCTTAAATTAGGAGAGTAAATTCTAAGTCAGGAAAAGGGGGTTAATAATTTTTTGCCTTCAGATCTTACTTGGTTCTCTTATTAAAAGAGACCAAAAAAAATGTGACCTTAAGTTGAGTAAACAGAGGATTCTTTTAGATAAATGTGAACCTATTTAATTTCAGTTCATTTTCACTGAAAAGTCTTAGCAAGTGCTAGCTTTAAAAAAGGAAGGGAAAAGGAACATTAACAAGGAATTTAGAGTAAGGGAACAGTTTTGCACAAAATATACTTTTCGTTATATTTCACATTTTCGTAATTTATAATTGGCTCAACATTTTTATGGACAGGCTTTTTCCAGAAAGCTTACCCACAGCTGCCGGAGATTTGTGTTTTTGAAAGAACAGCACGCTTACTTTATTACAATAGGAAAGTGACTTCAGAGCGAGACTGCAGCTGCGGGTCGGCCCCTAATCGCAGACACTGCTTATCTAATATTTTCCAGTAGAAATAACTTATGATGACCTGTTAATTTATCATTTAATTTATAGCTTTGTTTAAACTAAAAAAAATGTTTTAACTATAAAGGGAGAGATTTAAGTTGCTTACGGGTTCCTTATTTCAATAAGACTGCAATAAATATCCCTAATACATACCTTTATTCTATGTCACTGATGATTTCATTAGGACAGACTACTGGAAGCTGGACAGATCCTGTCCAGATGTGTCCCAGCTTGGTTAATAACAAAGCTCATTCCCACCAGTGCTACATTCGATTGCTCATCTCGCCATTCTCTCATAAAAGGACTTCTAATCACTTCTTTAAAATCTTTGGTGTTTTGACAAGTGAAAACTGTCATCATTGTTATTTTATATAACTGTTAGCAGGATTGAACATTTTTTCATGTTTATTACTCACTTGCACTTTTTATTTCTTCTGTAAATTGTTGGTTAATACATTTTGATCACTTCTTGATTAAGGTCTTCATAAATGCATACGCACATGCATCTTTTAACAAGGTCATGAGCCCTTTCCTTTGTCTTATTTGTTGCAAAGACTTTTAAAGTTTTTCAATTTTCCTTTTAACTTTCATCATAAAGAAATTTAAAATATTCATGTGTTTGAACCTGTAAATTTCTTTCCTGTTTTTATGATTTTCATGAAAAGTTATGAAAATCATAACTATTTTTATGATTTTCCTATCCTTAGGTCTGATAAATATATACTTATTTGGTGTAAACACAGTCAAGAAAACTGCTTAATTTCTTAAAAGGAGATAAAAATAAACATTTAAATTCTTTTTTCTCACTTCAAATGTACTAAAATGTAGATTTCACTTTTTTTAATTGGAAGAACTGCCAAAAACATTGTATTATAGATATTTTTTGCATCTTAAAAATCAGATAAATTTGACCCAGCAAATATTTCACTGGTTCAATAGGTACCTTAATTGTAAGGAAGAAAGCATTTTACTATAAACGAACTTTTTAAGAAGATTTAAAAAAACACCCATGTAGATATTAATAAAAACTAAGCAGCTGGAAATTATTATAGAATATTAGGTTCCTGACAACAAAACAGTGAACCTTTCTACTAATATAAACATTTTGAATAGAATGCCAATGCTGTTATAATGCAAATCACAACAGACATGCAAAATTTATGGAGCAACATGATCTTAATAGAAAATTATTATTAAAATGATGTTCTCATAATATGACAAATCATAAAATTATCCAAAAGACACTGAAGGATGATTAAGACCATCTTAAAGTGACAAGTAAAACTCCTGGAAGGAAGTTTAAACTCAGAAGAAATGCCAATACAAACTGTAGAAGTTACTGAGATCTGAAGAGGCTAGGGTAGTTGGCTTCTATATTCACCTTACAAAACAACGTCAGAAAAAAAAATCACCAAAGAAACATGAACATCATGGATTATATTAATCAATTATACACATGTAAATTTTGTATATAAAGGGTGAAAAGGCTTTTGAACTAATAGAAAATTCACCTCTGAGATATTACAGGTTCAAAGTTGCTCTCAGTAAAATGTAAAGAAATGTTCAAACGCCATAAATGCCCTTCAACCTTTCTGCTCATCTCAAGCTAAAAATAAAAACAGAAACTCAAAGTAGCTAATGAAACGATGGAAGCTAATATATCCATTTGCAATTTCCAAAGAAAAAAATTACTTAGGTTTTAAAAAGTTTTCCTGATGCCACTGACAATTTATTTTTAAAGCACAGAATCACCATAAAAAAAGAGAAAAACCATACGAAAATTTAATTTTCTGCCAGCCAGCTAATAAAGAAATTAGTTCTTCTACTTTCCAAATTATGAGAAAATACAGTATTGAACACATAAAATTGCATATAAAAATATAGTTCTGAACAGACGGGAAAATTGGATTTGAAATTTTAATATATTTTTTTAAGTTGAGTCCATGCAACCTAAAATTCTCCAAGCAGGAATGGTTTCTTTCTGTCAGAAAGAATATTTCCAAGTAGTATTCCAGACACATTGAGATTATGCAGAGTTCTTTCGTGTTCAAGTACGAACCTGTACCACTTTTGAAAGCATGCTTCTAAATGTGCTCTTTGCATAAATTTTATGTTTTAGAAAAATATTAAGGCAGTATATTTAGACACAGCTGTATTTAACCTACATAATTTTTTAAAAAATGACTGAATATTGGAACAAATGGAAATCTTTACTAGATTTAGGCAATATAACTTGTTGAGGATCAATGGTGCTTCAACACAAAAGAACAGGGAGAAATAAACAGGATTAGGAAAACACACATAGCAGAGATGAGTAAACAACAGCATTTAAAAGAAATAACACCAAATGGGCAGTTTCGTTTTTATTTAACTTTATGGCAAACCCTTCGGTTAAATAGAAAGAACAGTCTTAACTTACGTAAGTCCCAAAACTGATCTTGTTTTAAAAGAATGCACGAAGTACTCCAGAGAAAGGACAAAAGTGGAGAAAAATTGATTTTTCAAGAAACTATTTGCAAGAAAGTAGGTTAGAAAAGAGATTCATGATAAGTGGTGCTTTGTGAATTGATTAGAACAAGTTTCCGATCATGAATTAACCAGAGGAAAACATTCTGAAATTCTTAGAAATGCTAAAAAAATTACCCTCATATGGATTATTTTGTGCTGCAGAAGGAAAAAGGAGTGACAATCTTTAAAGCTGACTGTTCAACCACCCAGAAGCAATTGAGTGTAGCAGCCAATGCCAAAAATGCTCTAACTTCCACACCACCCACCAATGCTAAATGAAACTTACAAGAGCTTAAAGGAGGAAATAAATTACTCCTAATAATTCCTATATATGCCTATAATATACATATACATGAAAAATACATGGTTTGACAATCCTTATATATAGGCTGCCTTTGACTTAGAGGGATTTGACTTTAAAAGATGGAATTCATATTTACAGCATATTATCAATTTACCTTCATGTTATTATTACACAATTTTATGCAAACTACATACAACTTACATTGCCTTTTCAGTGAGCTTTTTCCTTCTTTCCAATAATAGTAGCCAAACTCCTTTTACTGATAAATATGCTGACTTCTAAGAAATGAGGTATGTTACAGGTCAGTAAGTATCATACCACACAGTGTACTTTAATATCAATGATAGATTATATAATATGATTTTAAAGTACAATTCTCATAAATACTGACACTAAAACTTGGAGTTGTCATAATGTTATTTCTTTCAAAAGTATCAACGTAGATCATTTTGATGTGAAATATATTTTTAAAAAATGTAACCTGTCATCAGGTTAAGGCCAACTTATATATGCTGTTTTGTGCTTGATTTTACGTACTTCAAAGAAAAGTGAAAATAATCAGATGTCTTCACTGAGCTGTTGGCTTAGATTTAGATCAACAGTGGTCAGGACTCTACAAGGGGCTCACTCATGGGCAGTCCCATTTTTGGTCCAAGGATATTCTGTCTGTAGGGGAGATCACGTCTGTTTTCCTTTTCCATCTGTGGACTCAGGAGACACAAGGCGTGTAAGTAAGAGCTGGGCAAGGGCAAGGTCCTAAAGTAAGCCAGGGACTCCGATTCTCCTGAGTAACCCTTGTAAAAGCCCTCATGAGAAGGCCAAATTTCTAGGACCTTCCTTGGCTGTTTTCCAGAACTGTCCTAGAACCGATAAATGTGCTGTGTGCGAGTATGGGGGACACAGACCCATCCTGTGTACCAGTGTCCTCTAAAACCAGTGGCACTACAGCATACCTGGGAAAGCGGTGGCACCAGCTGGGATGTGATGTGTCCCAGATACTATGATTGTTTCTATGATACATGGTGAGTGACAAAAAT